CTCCTCCAGCCACCCTCCCAGCCCTTCCCACCCGCTGGCACAGCTCCCTGCCAGTGTCCTGCTCGCTCTTGCTGCACCCCAGGTCCCAGCAGTGCCCTCCTTCTCCCACCAGCACCCTACTCCCCAGCTCCTGGCAGCACCCCACTTACCTCGCCAGCACCCCAGCCTGCTCGCCCTGCCAGTGCCCTGCTCGCCCCCTCTGGGCCCTGTGGGAGCTGGAGCAGCAGGTCAGGCTTTGTCCTTGTCTCCTGTAGAAAAGCAACCTAACTTACCTTTCCAGTCTGCAGCACTCAGCACCCACACCCGGAAAGCAAACACGGATGGAGAGCCGCGGTGCAGCCCGACGCTGTGGCTGTGGGTGAGAGCTCTGCATGGGTGGCAGGAGCAGCTTTCCTTGCAATTGGGAGTGAATCCCTATATGGAGGAGAGCAATGACTAAAAGGCAGGCAGCTGGTGGCACCTTGTGCCTGTTGTTTGGGGCAGGCCTTCCCCCTGGCTTACTGCGGAGCAAAGTCAAAGGACCAATAGCTTGTGGTTTCATGATTTCATTTATCACCTGTGGAAAGGCAGCAAGGTAAATCTGTCGTGGCTCTGAGCATCAAATCAGAGAGAGTTCCACATCCCTTCCTCACCCACCACCCTGTGTAGACCTGGTGGCACACAGAGCCAGGAAATGGAGGTGGTTAACTCATGTTTGGCTTTTAGGTAGTAACACTCCTGTCTCTGGGGCACAGTGGTGGTATACCACTGTATCACCACAGTGGGAGATGCCATTTCCATTCAATTTGCTAAGTAATGTATGCTTTCCACAAGTTGCTGGAGCTATGGATATAATAAGAGCACTGGGACTTGAGATATACATCAAATTTTGTGTTGGAAAAGAATCCCTACTAGCGAAGCAGGATCGACATTAACAAATTCCACATGCCTCTCTCTGCCTTCCTAGACACAAAAAAAAAAGTGTAAAAGAGGGAAAATTTAGAGTTCTGACAGATGCAAATCTTTGATTCTTGGAAGCACAATTTGGAAAATTATTTTTAGATGAAGTTTCTTGTCAAGGGCAGCTGGAAGCCTGCAGTGTCTGAATGTATTTTTAACAAAAAGTTTCATTTCTCATAATCGTTTAAATGCTGTAAATAACCCTTACTTCAGAGAAAAGAGTCCTTTCGAAATCCATTTTCTGCTTGTCTACTGCTGGGGGATTTTTTAGCAGCAGAAATGACCCAGCAGCTGGATCAACAAGGGGCAGGCACAGGCTCTGTTCCGATTCTGCCGTACCAATAGGTTTTAGCACAGCTCCTCCCTGCCCACAATCCAAGTCTTGGCCTCTGTCTGCGCTGTAAAGTTCATAAGTGACAAAAGTGTGTAACAGCTCACTTAAAAATTTACTACTTGGTGTTATTTGTTACAAGGAGAGGTAAAACCAAATGTGCTTTCCAAGCAAATGGCACAAGTTTGGCTATTAAGCATTGCATTGAAATACAACTTCAGCTGACACTCTGTGTCAATGACTTGGCAGCAGCATCCCGGTGTAACACCCCAAACCCTGTGTCCCCATATCTCCTATCACAGGTGCTCATTGCAGGTGGCCCAACCTATGGATGTGGAGCCTCTCCAATGTGCTGGTACCATGGAATCCACAGGCAGCACTTATTTTCTCTTTTTCTCACCACTATTTTGGGTTCCTGTCTTCCACCCTGACATCAGCTTTCAAGAAATTTGCAGAGCATAATTATCTGCCTCTCTTTAAAATCAAAGTGAAAGTGGAAAATGGATTCCGACTACATTAGGGAAGGGACTGACATAAGGACAAAAGCAACCACATAGGACTCATTTCCTTAAAAACAGGCAAGAAAACCTTTCCTATCATGCAGTTGTCGTTGATTTGTTACCAAAGCTAGTGTTTCCATTGAAGAAATGTTCAGAGAGCAAAAAAAGAAAACAGGTAAAATTAGATTTGTCAATGTTTCTTTTATTCCCTCTGCACTGGGTGTTTCCCTTTGCAGCACAGCTACAGAGCTTGGCACCTACTGCTCCTCAGGACACAAGTGCCAAGCCCTTTCCCAAACACATGACCCACCCAAGGCGATAAAAATAACACTTCTCTTGTCTGTTGAGACAATTGTTCTCATCTCATCACTGACTCTATGGACAGCAAACCTGTCGCAGTAGCAAAAACCCACAAATGTTCTACACAGTAGAGAAAAAAAATTCATGAAATTCCTCAGCTCGTCCAAAACCACCACAAAGACATTCCATCATTTCCATTTCTCGTCCTCTTAAATAGGTGGTGATGAGTCATGGACTCAAGATCATTTCCTTGAATCCAGATGGCACAACTTCACCACACTTGGCAACTGCGGATCACTTCCCGTAGAGCCTGTATTCCTTCCATGGTCTTGTCCTTCAAAGCCATGGCGAGAAGAACAGGTTTGTTCCCAGCTTCCTGCGACACAAACGCCACCAGGTTCTTGGCACAAACGTGAACGAGGGGCTGAAAAGCAAAGGGACACAGATGTACACTCCTTCAGCTGGGAGAGGCCTCCCACACGAGTTAGGAGAGGAAGAGCTCTGCGGTGACGTGGAGAACCTATTGATCCTGGATGTGGACTGAGCACACTGTTTGCTGAGCAGTTCCAAAATGATCAGCAATGCTAAGCCATGGGACAGCGATCTTTAGAAAGCAATTTCTCAACCAGCTTGAAAGGGAAGAGTTTGGACCCATGAGCGCAGCTACCCAAACCACCTGGAAACAACTTGACTGGAGATGCACTGGAATTGAATTTTGCCCTGGTCTGGAAAAGCTGGTATGGAAACTCTTTCCATCCACTAATCCTCCCACCCAAACTATGGCACCAATATTGTATTACAGGAAATGATGTGGATCCAAATGTCTTTATTTCCATCATAGCCAGATGGACCCATGAGCGCAGCTACCCAAACCACCTGGAAACAACTTGACTGGAGATGCACTGGAATTGAATTTTGCCCTGGTCTGGAAAAGCTGGTATGGAAACTCTTTCCATCCACTAATCCTCCCACCCAAACTATGGCACCAATATTGTATTACAGGAAATGATGTGGATCCAAATGTCTTTATTTCCATCATAGCCAGATAGCAACTGCACTGCAGTGATAGGACAAGGGGTAACAGGCTCAAATTGGAGGAGGGGAAATTTAGGCTAGAAATTAGGAAGAAGTTTTTCCTGTGAGGGTGGTGAGACACTGGCACAGGTTGCCCAGGGAGGCTGTGGCTGCCCCAACCCTGGCAGTGTTCACAGCCAGGCTGGCTAAAGCCTTGAGCGACCTGCTCTGGTGGGAGGTGTCCCTGCCTAGGGCAGTGGATTGGGACTAGGTGATCTCTAAGGTCCATTCCAACCCCTAAAATTCTATAATTCTATGATATGATTCTAATTGTCTTTAATTGTTTCTAATTCTAATTTCCAATTGCCTGCAAGTATAATTTTTGTTGAAAACTTTATTGCTGAGCAGGGTATGTTCCACTCACAAGCTCTGGAAAAAACCTTTTGCAATTCCTAGAGACCTCAAAATGGTGTTTTATGCAGAGTTTTCACACACCTGTTTTTTTTTTAATAGAATAATGAAAACCAGAAATAAGTGGTGAGGCTGAAGGAGGGAAGAAAAGGGATATAACCTTCCTCATGAGGTTTCTCTAACAAGAATAAACTAAACAGCACTGACTATTTCCAGTCAGATGGTTATTTCCCTTTTCCTAAAACTTGGATTGATTAAGTTGGTTAAAATGATTTAAAAATAGACTGTAACAAAGTAAACAAGACACTTCCCATTTCCAAATAAAACTCAGCTTGGGGGGTGGAGGTGGTCAGAATTAGCAGATATCACACCAGGGAAAGCAAAATATTTCCCATGCAGAAGGGGAAAGCTATTGCTGAAGAGAAAGATCTCCATAAGGGGAAGTCGTGGATAGAATCAGGAACTTGTGTTGCTACAGATTTTCTAGTTAAGGTAGCAAGTAATGTTTGATAGCTCCAACCCTTATGGAAAGCTTTATAACCTTGTAGCTCTGTAACTTTCTGTTTCAATGCTTGACCAGTGGACACTTTGCGAAATACCTTTTACTCTGCTTTCTCTCCAGCTTTGCGAAATGGTCAATAAAAACTCATTTTGTCGAAGCAAAAGAAATTAAACTTTATCAAGGGAAGGCCCTGGCAGGCACACTTGGGAGAGGGCAACTAAAGTCCATTATGGGGCTGGCATGGAGTGGGAGGGATGGGGGTGAGAAAACAGACCTGAAAAGGAAAACAAACTCACTGGAACACAGACCCAAAAAGGTTATCAATGGCTTTCATGTTTGATCTTGCAACCCTTAAATCAACAGAGCTTTATCAAACCTTCCATAACACACCATCCTGGAGGACAGACAGCTCACAACCACTCACAGCCAAAGTTTTAAGTCAAAGAGCAGGCGAGCACACATACTTTTCTGATGAAGCCCTCTTCCCTCGGAAGAGACTTTAAAATGACTCTTATCACTGTTCAAACAGCGCTGTGATTCATCAACTCCCTGGCAACCTGCACAGCTCCACCTACCCCATTTCCCCCTTATCCTGCACACCTACTCTCACCTCATCCTTGCCCAGCAGCACCTTGGTGGTGAGCGAGGGCCTGCCCACGTTGTCAGCGATGGTGTTGGGGTCCAGGTAGACGATGGTGCCCAACTTGCCATACTGGGTGACCACCACGAGCACAGAGTTGGAGAAGGCTGTGCACACCACCTCGGTCGGGACCCCGTGCACCACCTCCTCGCGCTGCTTGGACATCACGATGGGACTCGCCTCCATCGCTGCCCGGAAAGAACACAACGCCAAGAACGACAAAACGACATAAAAAACATGCTCTATAGGCCATCAAAAGCACAAATCCTTCCCTTCCTTTGCAATACCCAAGGGTTACGCTAATTTCGGCCGCAGGTGCGCGATGCTGTGCACGGCCGGAGCGAACCCCCCGCACATCTGGCTG